CCATACTTGGAAGGCTATACTCATGGTCAGAGAAAGGGAGAATCTTCTTCCCTTGACATCCAAGGTTAACTAGGTTCCGGGAGAGTGTTCAGCATCTCTGGAAATGTTCTGTAACTGTAGGACATTACCTGTTCTCTTGTTCAGGAATTCCATGAAGACACCATCTGGTGAGTTCTAACCAATGTCCAATCCACAAAGAGGAGGGTGGGGCTGGAGAGATGGATCAGCGGTTAAGAGCTCTGCTCTTCCAGAGATCCTGAGATCAATTCCCAGCAACCATATGTTGGCTCACAACTGTCAGCAATGGGGTCTGATGCTCTCTTCTGGTATGTCTGAAGACAGCAACAGTACTCACACATATAAAATAAATAAATTTTAAAAATCTTTAAAAAGCGAGGGATGGGGTCAACATAGTACATTTTTCCAAGCAAAACCACAGCCTGAAGATGTTAGAGGTTTGTCTCAAGTCCAAGTGACTTCTGATGTCTCGATCTTCAACTGGCCTTTGACAGTACAAAATGATTAATTTTGATTTGGTCCATATGCAGGTCTTACATACCTAGTAGGCAAGTATAACAACAAAAACCTTTAAAATATTGGTTTGTTAGTGGTCCAAGGAATCGCACTCCAAACACTGGATTTAAATTTATATTTAGACAACTATTCTCACTAGTGAGCGAGCCCCATCACCTTTTTTGACACAGGTCTTATTATGTATCCCCGCCTGGCCTAGATCTCACTATGTAGACCAGGCTAGCCTTAAACTTGCTGAGATGTGCAAGCCTTCACCTCCCAAGTGCTAGGATTAGCAGCATGCATTTCCGTGCCCACCACGATTTTCTTGATAAGGAAAATAATGTCCAGAGCTAAGATTTTAGACTGTAGGTCACTACAGTACTTAGCTATAGTCTTGAGAGACTGGCTCACTGTTACTTTAACCAAAAGTGGCTGGAGAGATGTTTGAAGAGCACTTGTTGCTCTGGAAAAGAATGAGTTCAATTCCCTGTACCCATATAGTCATTCATAGCCATCTGTAACTCTAATCCCAGAGGATCTGGTAACCTCTCTGACGTCCTTGGGCACCACACATGTTCGAGCACATACATATAGGCAAAATACAGACACAAAAATAAAATGAATAAGTATTATTTTAACCTAAAATTTCTCTTCCTATCTAGAAGTCATATCCGAGGAACCTCACACTAATCCTAGACACTCCAACTACTTTCAAAGAACCTGAAAACAGATCCTAGTTTTAAGGGATTAAAGGTGTGTCCCCCCACCCCCATCCCACCCCACCCCCGCAACCCCCATGCCCAGCAGGAAACTTTTTTTTTCTATCAAAGCTAGTTAGCCCAGAAAAGGCTAAAATTTCCTGAACCGCCCCTTTGTGCCAATTAACCAATTATATCAGAGTGCGAGTTAAGCTCCACCAATGAGATGAGATGCAGTCCCTGACTACTTTGGGGATAAAAGATAGATACAGTCTTGGCCAAATGTGCTTTCTAGCTTCGTCTTGGTTCTGGCACATACATTTTACCAAAAAAAAAAAAAAATTGCCTTGCTGAGCTCCGCTTGCTTGGTTAGTGTGCTCCTTTGTGCATCAAGATGATTCTTGGTTTCAGACATATTTTTGGGGTTCCCTATCCCTTTGTATAAGAATCAT